TCTTCAAAGACCTGTAGCTGACCATCAACTCCTGGATAATTCATAGGCAGAGACCCATTACTGGCGTCGGCCGACAGAATCAGGTCTTCACCAAAATCATAGAGTCTCGGAAGTATCAATGTCCCTGTGGTAAGAACATACGCATGTCATTGCCGGAATAAGCTAAACATTCTGTCAGAGACCATTGAGCGCCACGAAACTTGACGTTGATAGCGTTCTCTAGATACTAGTCCTTGTAGAGTATGTTTTAACAATAAATTCCAAGCACCAGCAGTGACAACGTCAGGCAACTTTCCTAGCACAGCCAGCACACCACTATAGGAGAGTGTTAGTTGGTCAGAAGTAAAGGAATCTCTCAACTTTATCCACTGTTTAGGTGGAAATTTGAGTGTTTTCCCATGATCACTATACACAACTCCCAGAGCTTCAACATCATCAATGGCAGTGTTCACACATTGTCGTTTGATGTTATTCAAGGCCCGCTCCACCGCATCGTATTAGTCATTTGGGAGTGTTGGGTGAGACTGAGTGTTAGCCAACTAGGCAGCAGAGGGCGGTGATAATACCGAACCTCACAATACGCCGTGCATTGGCTCAACACCACAGTCACATTGCCTAGCACGCAGGCACATAGGCAATGTCCCCCAAACAACTAGTAAAAACAATAAAAGAAAAATTCCAGAGTGGAACCGGCTCGAGATGCTCTTGCACAGCCAGATTGCTATCACATGGTCCTCGACCGGTTGCACTACCTCCTCGTTCGAGTCGATCACCATGGCGTGCGCCACGCACGTACGAGCGATACTTGTTACGCTTGCTTGAATTTGCCCCATGCAAGCCTGGACCTGCACTCAAGGCCCGCTCCACCGCATCGTATTAGTCATTTGGGAGTGTTGGGTGAGACTGAGTGTTAGCCAACTAGGCAGCAGAGGGCGGTGATAATACCGAACCTCACAATACGCCGTGCATTGGCTCAACACCACATTCACATTGCCTAGCACGCAGGCACATAGGCAATGTCCCCCATTACTCACCCAACAATCCGGACCACCCACGCATCCGATGCTCTCATCGACCCTGCCATCATGACACAGTTATGCTCCATCGCCCCATGACACCCGTGCTTAGGGTCCCTAGGTCGTGTGGGGAGGAGACAGCCATTCAAGCAAGCGGAGGTCTCCGGGGACAACATCCCAGATGCGGTTTTTGGTGGTGGATGACACCACTAGTCTGATGACTCGATAGTGATGCTGATACTCACTACGAATCTCGATAGTACCCAGAGACACTCAAACCCCAATACTCCGCGCGCAAATGGGCATTGTACTCTCAGAAACAAATTGCATGATTCCTACATCATCAACGCGCAACGTCTGGGGAACTGAGAATCTCCGCTGCATGAGTCCTGCATTGACGCTTGATCTCAGGCAATCCGTAATCTTCCCATGCGCGAGAACGCCAGTTACCCGCTACACGGACTTGTTCGGCCGGCACATTACGAGCCAGTAAGGCGCAAGCTCCAGAGCGCCTCATGCTATGGCCAGTGATATTCGGAATGTCCCACGATAGAACTTTCGACGGGAATCCAGCCATCAAGAAAGCTCGCAGCTCCCTACCAATAGTTGAACCCTTCAACATAGGGAAGATATGCTCAGTCTCTCCAGTTGTGATGCCACGGCATACATTAACCAAATAGTGTGCAATGCACCACGTCTTCTTGCAAAAGATTCCCTCTGCACAGAGAGTCTGTCGCTCTTCACGACTGGAGGTCTTGGTGTCGTGGAAGGTAACAGATACCAGGAGTCCATCATCGCTCGACTGCCACGTTATATCCTCACGAACTAGAGGTGGGATCTGGTCAAAGCGAAGCATGAAAACGGATGCGATATTTCACCGAACCCCATCTCGTACAATCGTATAGGTGTCTGGTACGATGCCATCGTCTTTGGCTTCAGAGATGACTCCAACAGTCGTGTGTTCGCACGGGCTCTTTCTTCTGGGGTGGACATTGCTTCAGCCTCGTAAAAGTCCAAGAGATGAGAAGAAAGCGGTGACTTTCTTTGCATTGAGCAGAACAAGGCTACTGAAAAGAATAGAGGTGTGCTTCAGGTTGTCAGACGCCATCATTATAAACACAACTCCCCAGAGATGAGGTGGAGACTAAGTAGGGTTTAATGAGATCAGGCGTCGCAAGCACACAGGGCTCCCACCGAGGGAAGCAGAGACAGATCCACGTGGGTCCAGCTAGCTGGGACCTGTTTCACAGTGGATGCGCGTCTATTCCGACTTATGTAATCAGCGGCTATATTGGACACGCCTGAAACATGTTGCGATGTAAGGCGGTTGGCCCATGGGGAGATTTGTGAGAGGACTCGCCGCATTGATCTCACTTTTGAAGACCAGCGGGTGATGGTGCTCACGGCCGAGGAATTGTCACAGAAGGAGTGAATCAATACAGTCTGGTCGTCAGGATCAGTGTCTAGCACGGCCTCCGCCACCAGTACCCCCACGCATATAGCCGACAATTCGAGGAAGCTGATGTCACCAGAGACAGCCTCCCGGGACTGTGACGGTTCTTCTCCTGCTCTGACCTCGCATAACATGTTCCACCAACAAGGGTCATCCATCTTATTGAGATTGAACCAGTAGATTTCCTGCTTGACCCTCAGATAACCACCCAAACCTATTATGCTGGCATCGGTAACCAAAAGTACTGTGTTCATTAGTATTTTCTTCGCAGGAATCCGCGGCAAGGGGGTTGTTAGTTCACCGTAGAAGAAGCGTAGATCGCCCTCCACACCCCCACCAAGAGTCCTCAACTCGCGCTTCTCCGCAACGGCTTTCTGGGCGAACAGCGAGGCCAGATGCGGACGCCATGGGGCCCATGGCATGGGCGCATTAACTGAGTACACCA